AAAAGAGCTTGGTGGCCTCTTTTAACCTTGCATTTCCCCATCCACATAGACTAACTGCCCGTGCGTGGATCGTATCCAGCAAAGCAAGGGGTGAGCCGGTACAGTACGAAGGTGAATTTTACTGATAAAATATTTGTGGCAGTGACCAGGGTCCGATCCCATGAAATCGCTGTCTTGAGCTTGAGCCCGAAGTCCATGATGCTACCGACTGAGCCACCGACTCACCTTAGGAAACATTTTAGGATGGTTTTACAGCTTTTGATTATGTAAAAATATCTTTGTTATATGGATAAAATTGTTAATGTAAAATTCAACTATTGAGTTAATGTAAGTGAGCCAGCAAAGAATAATTATATCTAAGCCACCTTATAGGATATTGACTCAGTAAACACAGGAAGTCTCAAGAGATCTTTGTGAGTTTCCGGTCTGTCGACCAATCACAACAACTCTCTGTTTGTCGGGTTTCCTCTCAAGTCCAATCTTGAAAGAACTTAAGATTATCTTCATATCAAACTAAGTATTAAATGTTTTTACAATGTAAATATTATACGATAGTCTGTAGAACCATAAAGTTTAATTGTTGTAACTTATATTATTCTCATAGTATATTATAAACAGAAACAGTGTTTAACTGTGCTTGTTATTTCTTGCCAAACGAGACTATACCCAATGTTGAACCGGATATCTGCTTTGAGCATGTCGAAACAAGATTGGCTTTGTCTGCCAGCCCAAAGCACAATTATTGCAATACGTATGGTGTCATAGGAGTTGGCTAATGAGCAACATGTCATATCAATTGATTAATCTTTGGAAGAACACGATTACCCATTCAACTATGACGTAGACAACCTGAATAAAAGAAAATACTAATGACTAAGGTTCTCTGAAACACCCCTTTTACGCACGTACTTCTCAATAGATTTTTACTATGGAGGGGACATTTAAAAGTTGATGATCTAGCAAAGGATTAAAGGTAATTTCATTTTGGGCATCACCTTCCTAGCGTTTGATTTATTTTTAGAGTTAATTTTCAAAGATCCAGTGATGGTGACCAATTTGTAATTTAATGACAGCTCATCCTTAACATTTATATTGTAAACAGGTAGTTAGATAGATGATGTTTGGATAGTTAACAAAAGACGAAACCGTTCATGAAAATGTATTATAAAAAGTCTAAGCTACTCTTACTAGCGATATTTATTTGTAGCCTGATTGAGTTAGGTAAATCACTTTGCATGACAACAATTAACTAATTTTATTTATTATAAATTAGTTTTCATTACATTATCATTATCAATTGAGATGGGTACGCAACAATTCATTTTTTTCTGCTTGTTTTAGATATTATTTATATAGTTTTAATCAGCACGGCCTATATCGTATTTTAGCTCAAAAGTGAGTGAAGGGTGAGTCAGATGATATCTTCACCTAATAACTGACTAAAACACACCTCGTCTTTAAAAGTTAAAAAATATTGCTTTACGAATAAAGCGAACGAATTTTGCCTTAGTAACAAATTTTGAGTTGTATGAAAATGTGCAGTTTGCGTTCAGATCTCCTCATAAATAATTTAATATTTTGAAATTCTTCTTATCAAAAAACTCCTCGAACTAATATTTACCGTACCATATACTTCAATGTATACCATAATTCAACCCTTAACATTAGTTTTTTATATGGGCATGACATTATGGAAAATACGTGGTCTAAGTAGTTATGGGAAAACATTTACGCTTGTGCAAAAGCTGGCGGATGTCCCTGATGGTAAAATTATACAGCATTGCATATTGCAACCCTTCCTGCATGTTCAGAAAAGAGGTAATCCTAGAGGTGTACTGAATCACCATATTTATATGCAACCTCAAAAGTAGAAGATTTGACTTTGCAGTTTCTGAGTACTCTTTTAAAAATTATTTAGAAAAATCATTGGTCGTAAATTTGGTTTTTGTGCCTCTGTAATGTAAAACTTACTTTACTTCATACCTATTTGTAAGCATATTTTAAAGTAAATTTTAATTTGAACCAAACAAAGTGTCATGTCTAGCTTCATTCTTTTTACAGTTGATTCTCGTATACAGAATCTTTGTTAATATCTACCCAACATCCATAAAATTTATTGTATATGTAGATAGTGTGTCAAGTTCCTATGTAGTTTTTCGGGTACTCAAGTTTACTGTCTGGTGTTCTATAATGACACTATTTTTATTGTAAGATAACTTTTAATGTGAAACTACAATTATGTTTTAGTTATTTATTTAATTGATTCATCTGTAATTAACAATGAAAGGTATTTTTAACTATACACTTAAAATAGTCAGTTTCGTCTAGAGAAAAATGGGAAATCGGTGTCGTAATACAGAAGTAGAATCTCGTATACCTTAAAAACCGTGCAAAAATTAAGGAAAAAATTTCCCCAAATTATTATTATCATACTAAAATTATAAATGTGAAAGTGTGTGTGTTTGTTTGTTTGAAGTTCAATCACGCATTAACTACTGGTCGGATTGGAGTGAAATTTGGCATTATGATAGGTCAGATTTCCGATTAACATAAAAAGCTATTCTTATCTAAAACACCCTCTCGTGCTCCACCCCAGTGGCTCAGGAATTTTCAATGTTAACCTTATGAGTATTCATATTTTAAAGGAACCAAAGAATTTTTTGTCAGCTTTTTAAACTAAACAGGTTCGATCTATGACATCCAATAGTTATAAGGTTTACCCACAGGGTGCAGCACTATTAATTTTGTTGCATTATTTTATGATAACAGATATTTGAACAAAGCAGCAACGAAAAGCTGCCATACACAATGAGAAATGTCAAAGGAGGATGGTTTATAGTCACGTTTATGTTTTTAATTCAGTAATTGGCGACAATGATTCAACAGAAATACTTGGAGTGTGATTGAAAATGATGCAATGGAATACGACGCAACAATATAGCCTACAATAGACAACTCGAATTATTAAAAATATATTGAATGGACAGAGAGTGTACACTACGGAGCATTAAAATGGAAAGATGATCCTGCTGGAATGAGTTGTTCTGGTGGAAAAGTTTCTTTACCTGTATTAGAAGAACCGATGAAAGACTATAGTCCCCTACCTTGGAGAAACTGAATATTCGAGGTATTTTCAGTTTCAAGATTTTATTTTGTAATTTTTTAATCGGAGATTAAACATATTGTTGTGTTTTAGATGGTTTTCATTTAGTTTTTAATTGTAATTTAATCTATGTAGATTTTTTAATTGTAACATGATGTTTTATCTATGCAATAAAAAGTGATATTTTTTATTTTTTTCATTGGTGAAGCCACTACGGATAATTATTTGCACTACTATAGACATAGATCTCAATAAAAAAATGTTTTAATATTCTGTTTAATACTTATTCTGTATGATGGTAATACCATCGCAGGCGAAGCCGTGGGTTCAAGCTAGTTATTATTATGTATGTGATAAATGTGAGTAGACAATCGGAACTGTGTTAGAGGTGTTGGGATATGAAAATCAAATTCAACTCACCAATGTGCGTGATCAAATTACAAGCGGTTTTTATAGTCACGTAACACTTTAGCGTTATCAGGTTGGCAACAGGTGGTCGTGTCAGGATTGCCAACATTATGTTAACAAATGTAATACATTGCTGCCAACTTCACCTGCCAAGCAATCAGCTGGTAACACGTGCACTTTGGAGGGAGAAAATGTTGAACTTTATGAATGTTTATCCACTAGTGTCCTTTATAATATGCTTTATAACCCTTTTGAATTTTACAGGTCTAAAATTTAACCTTTTTTTATTAAGGAATTATATTTTGTAAAAAATATGCTTAAACACTGTATCGTTCGATTTTTTATCAACAATTATTTCTTATATAATAATCCCTGGCAATTTCAGTCTTTTGTTAATGGTAAAAATTGAATTAAGTTATGTAAGTAATAGGGGAAAAAGTCTATGACGAATTGTCAATTATTATTAGACGAACCTTATTAATTTCCTTCTCCCTGCCTTATGGTTGAATTTAAATATAAAAATAGGGAGGCTCAGTAGAGAATATATTGTCCGTTGACGTTGATTCACTAAGGTGACTGCATTGGCTATTTGAAACTACTGTAGTTCCCAAATCCCCATATATGCAGGAACTACCATTTCTTTAAATTCTCCTTTTGATAAAAAATACATTCGCCGCAGCAAACTTGCTGACTAAGATATTTCCTTATCGGATTTAAACTAAAATATACTAAGATTTATTCCTCACTTAAATAACATTAGGTTTAGTGAATAAGATACACAGGTTTGCTGCTATGATGAATTATATTTCAATGTACTTGGTATAATAAATTTACTAAAAAATGTTTGATCATATATATCCATAATCACGTTAACAACAACAGTTTATTTATTCTCTATAAGATTAACATTAAAATTTAAACTGTTTTAGGTTTTGTTTATTATTTCCATCACCATTAGACGTACAATGGCGCTTTAATATACCAAATTATTGGTTTTTGAGAAACGTTTTACAAAAAGGTTTGGAAAGAAACTCGCAAATTTCATATTTTGGGGGGTGAAAAATGGTAAAACCAATTTTTACCCTATAAAACCCTTTCCCTATACTCCAGTCGTGCTAGTTCGCAAACTCGTTCAAATAACTATATTATTTACGTATGCACCAAATTTCACTATAATCAAATGATTTTAAATTCAGTTATCAAGTTGACGGACACGTGTATACTTAAGTATATATGTATATTATGAATAATATGATATACATTTAAACTAATGGTGTTTTAGTCTCTGGAGACAACAGAACGCAAAATTGAAGCGGTCCCGGTTCTAGGTCTTATCACGAGACCTACAGCAAACGTTTTTCAGCTGAACCATAGCCTTATCTAGTACACTGTGTATTGGCTGTATTGGTGTATTGGTGTATTGTGTATTGGTGGCTAAGGCTGAACCCTATTTGGACAATTTATTTAAATATAAACCTTTGTGTTGCAGGCATGCGGATCCTAGTCATGCTTCTTCTAGACACCCTGCCTATGCTGGGTAACGTTCTTCTTCTTTGTTTCTTCGTTTTCTTCATTTTCGGAATCATCGGAGTCCAACTTTGGGAAGGTATTCTTCGACAACGGTGTTTTCTAAAACCGATTCCCAACGTCACATATCCTAAGTAAGTAGAACCGTTAAAATTATTGTTTTCAACTTTTTAGACACTAATTTATAGGAGGTTACAAAACTGTATGATATGAACTGTACTGTTTTTTTTTCGGTATGCAAGCAAGTCATGTTTGTATGAATGTAAATCACATTTAATTTATAGTTTGATCATCGCTATATTCTTACTAAACACAACACTAATTTCTCAAATTTGTTGACAGATTTTATACGTTTCATAACAGATAACAGGTATAACTTAAAACAATTCATTATACTTGTTTAAACATTTTTTTAAAATAAAACTTTATTTCATAAAACTTATTAAAAGATTGTCTGATAAAGATACTGCAGTAATTATTTTAATTTTTCATCCATTATTTTCTAGGACATTGTGTATACAATCCTCAAAAGATACGAAAATAAACTGATAAAAACTTATATTATCCATTTCCTACGTATATGATGTGAATTTGTGCTCCTAAAGATCACTGTCAAAAATGCAGGTTTATTTTTTTAATCAATCGTTTGGCCAATTAATATCAGTTTTCCGTAAGCTTTGGCCTTAGAATAAATCACAGTATCAATTGGAGACTAAGTGATACTTCAACGCAACTGTCCTTTCCCGTGACTCTTCAAACTTCCATTCCTAGTTCAAATACATTTAATGAGTCTACAAATCTCCCAAGCCTGCTTAATGGCACGGTTTTCTTGTTTTTCGTCTTCAACAGTCTGAACGCTATCACTTGGATATTTCTCTTCCCCATATGCAGGTTAAGTGCCGGGTTTTATGGTCAGCTAAAATATGGTTTCCATTTCAACTCGTCAAATCCCAATCGGCTTTAATGAGTATTAGTTGGCTACACGACCCCTCTTGCAGATTAGGAAAGCGGTAGAAACTCTGCCGATGTCACTATTTGGTTGGACACTACTCAACCTGTAGAGTGGAGGACGATCTCCTTCTAAGAGCTGGAAAGCCGAGACCCTCTTGCAAGGAGTTGTGTATAGGGTCTTTGAAAGAGAGGGAAAACTTCAATCTTCTGTAAAAAATAAGGGACAGCCGATAAAAGCCAATTTTCAAAACTAGTCTGGAACCTGAAATGCCAGATAAGGCAGATGGTTTCTGAAACTTTTTAGATTCTAAGAGCGAAGAAAGAGTTGAGGTTCGGAAGAAGAAAAACTTTTGAGACCTGGCTATTCTAAAACTTGGCTATTACATAATTGGGGGCACAATTTTTCCTAATTCGGATTATAGCGGGCAAATTACATGATGAGGAGCCACTGACTTGAGCCAGTGGTTGGTAATTCATGCTTATTCCAAAAGTGCGTTTTCTATGACTTTTGGGGAATCGTCACCTAAGGGGAATCTTATTTTGCTATCAAGACTGTGGCCATGAAAAGATTGATTTCTGTCTGTAAGCCTATGGTAAACGATAAAATGGAAATGATAGTTACTTCTGGAAATTATTTCACCATAAGATTTACCTTAGTGTGTCTATGGCCCAAAGGGTGCCTATGACTCTGTTAAGTTCGCGGTTACAACGGGTGGTAGATAATAGTATACGTCACGCTGCAAAGACGTATGTGCCAGTAAACTTTGGTGCAAATTCCATTTATGGAAAAGTGTTATCTACAGACCAACAGATTCTATCAAACACAATATAGTAATGGCACCAAGTGGATAGATACGAAATTACCGTTCTGGATATACCGCGGTCTCTTGGGGCCTGGTGGAAAGCTTGTACTATAGTATTAAACATAGTATAATAACTATTCACAATGTTCCTCTAGCGTATGTGCATAAGACCAACCATACCATGATGGATGTAAAAGAGATGTTTAAAGCAATCATCCTAATCGAAACAATAAAAAGTAAGTTTTAAAAAGCCTTACAAAATATCAACACTACTCTCATTTTACCACAATTGTATGCATTGTTAAAAGGTGTAGCTTTTAACTGTAACACCATTTTTAGAATTGATTTTGTCAAAAACTCTTTGACCTTTATAATTCTATCACATTTGAAGCTGTGCACGATTTAAATTGGGCAAGCCAATCACGTATTTCTATTCCCCTTAACAACCAATCAGAGCGTTTCAATGATTACCGGGTGAAATAGAACTTTTATTTGAAATTGCCGACCCTTTTATGTTATGGAACTAATATTGCTGTAATTTTGATCTTAAGGTCTCAATACCGTTCTAACCTTTTTCAATTCCTACTTTTTCAGGGAGAAGAAATATAGAAATTTAAGTTAAATATACAACCAAAGAAGTGATTTAATTTTTATTTTATAAAACGAGATCTTAAGAAATGTTTAAGTATTAAGTTTTATTTTATAAACTTATATTAATAGAATTTAGACTTTTAAGAATTTTTCAAAAAAAATCATGATTTCCACATTTCTCCTTCAATGGAGAAATTAGGCTATTGTTTTCGTCAAAATTATTGAGTTCGAGTTTTGGGTAGAAATATCCGTTTGGGTCCTCTTGAACCCATAAAAGGTTTTGTGCGTGTTTGTATTTGAGTGTGTGTATGTTTGTGCGTGTGTGTACATCAGTGGTCCAATTTTAATAAATATGTGGGTAAATAATCTATGGTATCTTCAGGAGTTTTTTTATTAATTTCGGAAAGATTTTTTAGTAGGGATTTTTCTATAAACGAGAAAATTGTTAATTTTAGGAACAAGTCTCAACGATTTTGGTTAGAAATTATGTAACGTATGTTATGGTCCTTTTAACACCAAACAAAATGGTAATCCCCAGTTTAAAAAAAAATACGGATTGATTGTTGTTGCAGATTTTGTAGTTAACATAAATTATATCACCCCTAATTAACCCTATTACCCTATTAAATATCATATTTGCTAACACCGCATGGATTTGTTAAGGGTTGTTATTATTTATTATTCTACGCAAATAAAACTTCATTTTGGTGTTAATTAAATACACCAAATGTTCCAATGTTCCAATGTTAATTAAATTATAAGAAATTTTCAAAATCGCATTTAACTACTTTTTAAAACTTTTTTTCTTTTCTTCGTACTCTCAAACTAAATACTTTGATGTACAGTTGTATCTACGTCTACTGTGCCTACATAAAGGCCATTGTTACATTGTAATTGGTTGTGCAATTTGTCAGTTTACTTCAATTGTGGACGACATTTTTACCCTTTACTACATTCGTTTACATTTTATGTTTTACATTATTACCGAGAATCAAATATAAACCTTCCAGAACCTTACTTATTGTAAGGTCATTTAACCTCAATTTTAGTTTCTCTTTCAACATTGTGCATCAAAATACACTAATCTTATAATTTATATTTAATGACTGGTCTACTTTTAATTACAGTAGTTTTAGTCTGAACGTGTTACTCCATGCACGTTCCGTGTATGCAATTCAGCTTCAGTACCCTATATGTCCATTATTCTTTTTTCCGGATGTAAAAACCGACGTATCCAACAATTCAAATAGTTGTATTGTAATCCCTACTTCTAGCCTAAACCAATCGCCATTTTCTTAATACTCTATGCCTTTCTAACACTTTACTCTGTGTATACTCTTTTACCTCCCCGCATTGTTTTTCCGTTACGGTCCAGAGAACTCTTACTCTATGTGTTCCTCACGATGATCTTCATACTCTGTGATGTTGCAGGGAGATCGGCGAGGAGTTCACGATACGAGCGAGGGTCACGGAGTAAGAAAACGACCTTGAAAACTCCCTGACTTGTTGAAAAAAACCTTCAATTGTTGTTCTTCTCCTTCTCTCTCGCTCGTGTCTATCTTTCTCTCTGTCTCTCTCTAACATGTTGAATGCGTTGTATTTGTTGTTGTGACAAAAACTGTGGTTGATGTTAAGAGTTGTTAAGGTATTTGGTGGTGAGGGATTTTGTTTGTTTTCTGCATATTCTTCTTGTTTTCCCCTACAATCAAACCCAAATAGTTTATTTGTTTTTGGTGCACAAACAACATTAACACTTTTCACTATCGCTTTAAATATTTAACTTTTTAGTGTTGATTTTTAACTTTTTTTATCTTTTTATGTTTTTATTACGTTTATTATTTGTTGTATTCAATTTTTCACATACCGTATGGGAAGTAATGCAACTCTAAAGCAACAAATATAATATACGAGATAGAATACTATATGTAAATTTTAACTTTAAAAGTTTCACCAAAAACGTTATGCATACTAAACAATGGGATAAATTGATTATGTACTGAGTACTAAACATGAATGGTTGTCTGGAATGAAATGGAAATGGAATGGGAATGGACGATAGTGGAATGGCTGAATGGGAATGTACTGCCACTAATGTGGTGACGACAGTATGGAATGAATGTCTGACAAAATGAATGTAATCTCATGAAACAAACGAATGTAAATACCTGTTAGAATTTGTACATTTCCTGTACAGCTGTACTATTGTGTTGTATTGTATATTTCCGGTTTGTTTAGATAAATAATTGTGTTCGTATACTGGTGTGTGACACGAATACTAGAGTATGGTCAGAATGCAGTATATGACAAACGAATGAAATTAATTGATGTGTAGTATTTTCATGTGTAGAAATTAGTCCGTGCTGGTACTGAAGTAAATACGCTTTCGTAAATTTAGTTGTGTAAAGATAGAAGGGATTTCTTTGATTAATGATGGGCGTATTTCAATCGTGGGTGTTTGTTACCTTGGGTAATTTAAAGAAATTCGTGATAATTATTTAAATTAAAAAACTAGTGTAAAATAATTTTTTTAATTTGATTTAATCCGTGTGATCATCACAAAAACTTGGATTTCAGAGAATTTCACAAATTCTCACCAAATACTCATATATTATGGCAGTAATGATTACAGTTTATCAATATTAAATTTGAAATTATAGTCTTTATATCGTGGAAATATATTGTTCAACTGCTCAAAGACCACCAAAGTTTCGTGCTTATCTAAGGAACCACAGAACATTTTTAATTGTTAATCAACCCTTGCTGATGATTAAAAATTGTATAACGCATTTGTATCGTCCTTAAATATCTGACCTTTAATCTTATACTTCATTTACATCTACAACTAAAATAATTGGAAACATATAAATTTAAATTGAATACACCAACAATTATTAATGGAATTTGTCATATTAAATTGCACGTTTCCTAAGGTTATAACCATTTTGTTAGACTTTCTAGCAAATCATTTGAAATAATATAACACGTAAAGATATAAATAGCAAAACAATAAAAAATCTAGTTTTTCTCAGTTTATGAACTACTATTCTTTCAAAGTAGATAATTAAACGAGTTTGTAGTAAATAATCCCATATGATTTATTTTATGCGATAAATTGAATTGATACGTTTTTTTGGGGGGGGGGTGGGGAAGGATACTATTTCTTTGATGCAAAGAGACATTAAATATACTTAGGAAGCAATAAAGTTAAACACCTAAAGATTTCGTGTTAATAAAATATTAAACTCTCATGGTTAATATAGGCCTACTCTAAAATATGTATATCTCAGTTGATTTGAGCTAAGACAATAAAAATCCAACTTCTACCTTTCAATTTGGTTTCTTCAAAGGCTATCTAGTTGGGTTTATTTCATTGTAATTTTAGTTTATGGACTTTTCCTACACTTATATCGTAGTTAGCGCCTACGTTATGCAATAGCGTAGGAAAAGTCATCAACTAAAATTAAAAAGTATCTTTCGCAATCATGCACATGAAAACACAGTTTACTTGATTGTTATAAAATAACAAAAATATACCAAATGCTCTATTAGACTAAGAAATCTACAATATTTAAAATAAATAAACATCCTATTATTACATAGAAGAGGGTTCGAAGGAATAGTTTAGTAATTTAATGAACTAAATTAAGAATAAGAACATATTACAAGATTTCATGACAATCACATTAGTTAATCTTATTAGCATAGTCAATTAGATTTGGAAAATGTGTAGAGATTGACAGCTAATATTAGACAAGGCCAAATTCTAAACTCGTATTATTAGTAATTAATATAAAACTTATCAAAGGTATTATTTATATTAGTTTTCAAAATGTACGTTACTCATGTAGTTTTAAACTGTTGAAAACGAGAGACGGAGAGAAAGATTACAAAAATTTAGTAAATTTCAAGTAAATGACAAAATGTCTGCTCTTCTTACCACCTTAAATATTTTCCTAGCCTTCACTTACTTTATCATCCTTTTAACTTTGCAATAAAATCATCCCTTCTTTGCCTCCACTGCAAATTTTTCTTCGTTCTACAAAATATATTTTAGTACTAACATTTCAGGATTTAGCTAAAAATAGGGAAGTAGCGGTTAGACCTAAACCCGGGACCGATGAACAAGCGACTGGGTCATGAGAACCGAATGTTAGTATAGGCTTTTGGTTTTATAAACGGGGATTCATATATTGACCACATTTAGACAAATTCCACCCAGAAAAATAGGAATTCTCCTAATCTGCAGGTTTCTTATGACGGGGGTATTATTATGTATTTTTGAAAGCTTTGCCATAAGGCTTCTGTACATTTCAAAAATTGGTTTTAGTCGCTTTTTTGTACTTTTAATTCCGAGAATTTAACTGTTTGGTCAACCTGTAACGTCACACTCCTTACGATCAATATAAATATTTTGATTTGACTGTCAACATACAATAATCACTTTTACTTCCGAAATTCGTCTTTAAATGCCCCTGCATTGAAATGGGTTAGCTAGTAAGCTGTGTTAAATATATGCAAATAAATTAAAAATTTGTATTTAAAACCAAATTACAAATCAAAACTTTGTAAATTTATGAAAATTTTGTCTCATCGCGTTTCATATCAAATATAATTTTTATTAAATTTTGAGGAAATCTAAACCAAACTAAATTCTAGAGCCACGTGGCCAATTTTTCTCTCTCTCCCTATTCCTCTATTCTTACTTATTTAATTTATTTAACTTCTTCAATACCCAATGGTGTGATAAATATCCCACCACCATCACCTATTTCCTCTTTCATGGTTCAAAACCTCGTACGCCCATGACTCAAAAATCATATTTTTTCTTTGCTCCAAGATCTCTTTGCTATACTTTTACCCGCGTTTACTTAACCACTAACCAACTCCCGCCATTTTCAGGCCGCTGGCGGCGTACTACCAGTACCAAGAGCAAGACCGGGACTACATATGTTCCAAGCCGGAAGACAACGGGATGCACAGATGCAGCGATTTGCCACCATACAAACACGGGGAACTACTGTGTAATGATACGGCTCTTCCATGGAGCAACAACATCCCTACCAACAAGTCCTGTGTCAACTGGAACTATTATTACACCGAGTGTAAACCTCAAGGCGACAACCCTTTCCAGGGGACCATCTCCTTTGACAACATCGGGCTGGCGTGGGTCGCTATATTCTTGGTTAGTGTTTTATATGGGTTATGTATACATTTTACAGGTGCATGTATTGTATACTCAATGTTGACTTGAGTATTGCTTATATTTTAAAATTCGATAAATATTGGCTCAATTTTAAAGTTTGATCAATACTGATAGAATATTTTGAAATTTTGATAAGCATTGGTCAATTACTTTAAAAATAGTAAATGTACCCCTTTTAGCATTGGCACATGTTCATAATACAACAAGGAGTAGAGAACAACATCAACAAACAGGTTAAGCTTTGATCCGTTTACCCTCAAAATATTGGGCAGGTATTGACCCGTATTGGCAGTATAACCGATGTATTGACCTTTTAACACTATTCATGAATATTTGCATTTAATATTTTATACTAATTAGTTAATACTTCTAGAGAAGTATATGATCTGCTTGATTTTGTTTTAAATATGTTTAATATTAGTTATAGACAACATAACAATTATTATATATTTAATTGTTGTACCTACTTTGATAGTTTTATCTCAAAACTGGTCTGAATTATCAATCACCAAGCTAACTTGATCGGTTTAATGTTTATATTACAATCGTGACCATATACCTCGATAATTCATTAAACCTTAAACCACATTTCAAAAACTGTAGGCCAGCGTTTCATACATTTCACTATTTTGTACATACCTACTGCTGGGCGTCATATACCTCACTCGATGTTCTTCCTCGTAGATAAGCGAAAAATCTACGAAAAATATTCCTTTCGCATTCAACTAAACCTGAAACTGTTTTGCAAACGGAGATTGATAGCCTGAACGTTTCGCTGTCACGTATCGATTTTGAATAATTCATTTCATGTTTGATTCATGCTGGATACAAGCCTAATGAAGATGTGTTGAGAAAGCACCCCAGAAACGATCAATCTCCTCCATATCTCATTTCCACTTTATTTTACTTTCACTTAAAAACCGAGGTCGACATTGGTTCTGTGATGGACGCTACCATCAGTCTTGCCAACGGCGCTGCACTTGAATAGAGTTAATTTGAAAAGAAGAGGGATGTTTTGTGTTGTTAATGGACTTAGTATCTCATTCGAGATAAAAGTTTCGCCTCAGAAGAAATCTCGTACATTAATTTATTTTTAAATTAATTATTTTGTTAAAACATTTTAAATTTTATTAGAATTGATTGCATTAGTTGCAAGTTTTTTTTTATAGTTTGTTGCTTTAACACGTCTAAGTAATATAGGTGCAGAAAATATATCATCAATTGAGAACAATTACACTTACTTTTAAAAATACCAAGGTTTTACACGAAGTTTATAGTACAGAATAAGATATTTCGGTTAACTATAAACAACATGGTTAAGAGCTAGGCTATTCAACAAATAAATTTGTCAAAACCCAAATTTGTTGCCTAACTTTTTTTGAGGAGGAAGATGATGCAAAATATGTTATATTAGTAGCTTAATTCCGGCGGTGAATAGTTTACAAAAAAGACGCCTTTTTGATTCAATATACTATCTTTCTTTAGCTGAGAATTATGGGTGTTGTGACTGGTAAAATGTAATAATTTGCTATAATAAAATATTGTAATAGATAATGTCTTAAAATTTGAACAGTATGGATTTAGCTATCCTAGTTATAAGACTCTTTTAATTTTGCATTAAATTCATCGTAATTTGTATCGATGAACGAGTAAATTAAAATAGAATAGAAACAAATCATAAAATATAAAAGTTTGAGTCGTTGCTTTTGAAAACAAGCTACATCTATTGATAAAAATTAGGTTACCTTATTAGATTTCAAAGACAAAAAACCTTTGAATATTTTTCTACACAATAAAATCACAAAAGTGAAAGTAAGAAAGTAATTTTCCGTTCCAGGTGATCAGCTTGGAAGGTTGGAGTGACATCATGTATTACGTCCAAGACGCCCACTCCTTCTGGGACTGGATCTACTTTGTACTCCTTATTGTTGTGAGTACCTCATTGTTGCCCTCTCATTGTTGGATCTCGTTGTTACCAACCCACATTTATTGTGTGACATAATCAATTTTTTGTTGCATGGATTCACCTTAAGGTCACTCATTGTTAGGAATAACTCACTGTCTCCTAGAAGTACTTTCTTCTTTGCGGAAGTTAATTTAAAAGTTTCCTTTTGACAAAAGTACGTTTGAATGAGTTATTTATAGATCAAATAAATCCTAAATTATAAATAAAGGTATATTCACTTTTATAAATAAAGACTATTTATTTATAATTATATTTATTAGTATTTATATTTATATTATTATTTTTATTTATATTTATATTATTAATATTATTTATTTATAATTTCTCTCCTAAATTATAAATAAATTTATATTCATTCCATTTATTTATATTTGTGTTTGTGTTAGTTTAAAATGAATTAATTGTGAATGTTTTGATTTAATTTTCCAATTGTTAGACGTTAGGATGAAAATATTTCATGTGATCGTTTCTTCTACCATTCTAAAACTAAACACCCATATTATAAGGGTTAGGTTTGTAAATTTATTTGAAGTTAAACTTACGTTCATAAATAATAATTATTTTTTTAAGGTTTTGTTTAAATTACTATTACAATGTGTTTTTAAATTGATGAATAAATAATGTTTTAGAAATCTTTTGGATGAAATTAGTAAAGCAATAAGCCACATGGCCCTACTTTCAATCCTCTATAGTGTGGTGTTTCTATATTTCTTGACAATGCTTCTCTTATACAAAACTTGAAAGTTCCGATTTACGTAAATATAATTTATGAAATTATCGATCAAATAAAAAAATACAATAAAAAGTTGTAATTATCAAATCATCCCTATCCTCTCTAAAACATTATTTGATCTGTTAGGTAAAAAATAATACAGGTATTTTGAGAGTAAATGGTAAATGCACCAAATTAATTTTCTATATTTTTTTTATTTTAAATCCAATGGTAAATAGCTGTGTTTGATTACCTACTATAAACCAAGGGAAACAAATCAATTAAATTAATTTATTTGAAAATCATTATTCATTACATGATCCAGAGTGGAGATTAGAAAGAGAGCGTGATTGAGGTTTAGGATCAAATTCTGTCAACAATGAATAAATAAATTTATGAGTACTGTAAGTAGTGTTGCTTGCTGTAACCTAGGGTTTGAGGCCCACCATAGGTCGTCGATCTAAATATCTATAAAACATTTTACCATCAACTAAATAAAACCAAAAAGAAAACAAACTCCATTGTATAACTCCCCCCATTATATTAAATTGAATTTAATATTTCATCTTACACAATCCCTAAATATACAAAATCGGTACGTAAACACAGTATATTCTATCATTTTATAACAATTCACATTTGTTTTAAACTGATTAGCATTACTTGTAAGTTGTTTTCGAATTAGAACGGCCCACGTAATGTACAAATTATACAGATCGTTGGAGTTTGACCAAGATAAGTAATGGTCCATAAGGCACCTAAACTACAGTGTCCCCAATAATTTTAGTTAAAACGATAGAAAATGTCTTTCCTTGTACCTTGTAGGTTTTACATTGATCTGAATTGTGTTTTACAATGTTGTTTGTATGCTTTTTGTCACCTTTTTTTATTAAAAATTTTAGAACTTTATAATAATAAATTTTGTTAATAATAGTTGAGATTTTTTATATTTTTATACTGAATTTAAAGTTTCATTCAAAGATTAGATACCATTAAAAGAGGGTGCTTGAATGTATTCATAATCTTTCTGTTGGTTATTTATTTTATATTTGTAACCGTGTGAATTATCGTAAAATAGAATAAAAGCTGTAATGAAATACTCTAAATAAATTAATAATAAATCAAATTAATGAATAAAATGTCTAATAAACAGATACAGTACAAAAAATGAACTGACTCTTATGTAGCAACTCTAAACCACTAGGTTCAAATTAAATATTAAAAATGCCAGCAAATACTAATATTCTTAAAACTTACATAATCCGTAATACCATAGACAAAAAGGTAATACTTATACAGTTTAGGACTGTTAAAAAGGTATAATTAGAATTTGAATTGACATCCATACTATTTTGCAGTTGGACTGGTAATTTTTTTTATTTTCTTTCTCTAGTTACTTTCTTTAATTTTAATAGGCCTGTATTAGTTTATTTCCAAGTCGAATTATTTGCAATTTACTATTAACAACTTTTACATAAATGATCAAATGTCATAAATAATAATTCTCTAACTAGGACTACAAATTATTTAAAATCAATTAAGTTTGGGGTCTCCAAGAGCGAGAGAGAGACTTTTTTTATGTTTGATCAAGTCTTCATACTTTATTTTATTTATAGCGCTTCGATTGATCAGTAATTTGTTTTAGCCTACAAGTTACAACATACTAACACTTTATCATGATTAATCTTGATAAGAATGTTTGTTTATCAACAAATGATTTTGAGTTAAACGCCTCAATCCTTTTGGCATTTTGGTGATTTTATTCCTGAAAGATTTTTACCACTACTCTGATTTTTCTGTTTTGTTCCCAGATTGGGTCTTTCTTCATGATAAATCTGTGCCTTGTCGTCATCGCTACTCAGTTCTCCGAGACGAAGAAGAGAGAGATGGAGAGAATGCGGCAAGAGAGAGCGCGTTACCAAAGTACAAGCACTCTAGCTTCGTCCACCAACAACTCTGAACCTACTTCTTGCTACGCGGAGATAGTAAAGTAAGTAAAGTAGTTCATATATCTGTTGACTTTGTCGATAAACAACTCTGAACATACTTCTTGCTACGCGGAGATAGTAAAGTAAGTAAAGTAGTTTATATCTCTGTTGGCTTTGTCCACAAACATCTCTGAGCCTACTTCTTGCTACGCGGAGATAGTAAAGTAAGTAAAGTAGTTCATATCTCTGTTGGCTTTGTCCACAAACATCTCTGAGCCTACTTCTTGCTACGCGGAGATAGTAAAGTAAGTAAAGTAGTTCATATCTCTGTTGACTTTGTCCATAAACATCTCTCTCTGAGCTTACTTCTTGCTACGCGGAGATAGTAGAGTAAGTAAAGTAGTTCATATATCTGTTGACTTTGTCCATAAACAACTCTGAACCTACTTCTTGTTACACGCAGATAGTAAAGTAAGTAAAGAAGTTCGATTATCCATTGACTTTGACAACCAAACACTCTGAACCTACTTCTTGCTATGTGGAGAGAGTTAAGTAAGTGGAGTAGTTCAAGTGTTCATCGACTTTGTCTACCAAACCCTCTGAACCTACTTCTTGATACGTGGAGATAGTTAAGTAAGTGTAGTAGTTCAATTATCCATTGGCTTTGTCTACCAACAACTCTGAACCTACTTCTTGCTACGTGGAGATGGTAAAATAAGTAAAGTAGTTCATATCTCTGTTGGCTTTGTCCACAAACATCTCTGAGCCTACTTCTTGTTACACGCAGATAGTAAAGTAAGTAAAGAAGTTCGATTATCCATTGACTTTGTCTACCAAACACTCTGAACCTACTTCGTGCTATGTGGAGAGAGTTAAGTAAGTGGAGTAGTTCAAGTGTTCATCGACTGTGTATACCAAACCCTCTGAACCTACTTCTTGATACGTGGAAATAGTTAAGTAAGTGTAGTAGTTCAATTATCCATTGGCTTTGTCTACCAACAACTCTGAACCTACTTCTTGCTACGTGGAGATGGTAAAATAAGTAAAGTAGTTCATATCTCTGTTGGCTTTGTCCACAAACATCTCTGAGCCTACTTCTTGTTACACGCAGATAGTAAAGTAAGTAAAGAAGTTCGATTATCCATTGACTTTGTCTACCAAACACTCTGAACCTACTTCGTGCTATGTGGAGAGAGTTAAGTAAGTGGAGTAGTTCAAGTGTTCATCGACTGTGTATACCAAACCCTCTGAACCTACTTCTTGATACGTGGAAATAGTAAGTAAGTGGAGCAGTTCAATTATCCATTGGCTTTGTCTACCAAAAACTCTGAACCTACTTCTTTCTATGCGGGTATAGCAAAGTAAGAATAGTACTCAAGCTTCTTCTACCAACAACTCTGAATAATTTACTTCTTGCTATGCGGAGATAGTAAATAAGTAAAGTATTTCATTTAGCAATTGACTTTTTCTACGAACAATTCAAATTATATTTCTTATGCATAAGTAGTACAATTGGTGGGGAGCAAGCTGGTCTAGTGGTAGAGCGTGGGACTGCGGTCCCTGAGGTCCCAGGTTCAAATCCCGCTGACTCACCAATCAACATCAAACAACATCAACAAACATTAATATAAACTGCACATATAAGTAGTGAAAAAAGAAACAATGATCCTAGAAAGAAAACAAATAACAATCAGTACAAATAAAATACGTATAATCTTGTAAGGTTTTATTAATTTTTTATCCCTTAAGGGGGACGGCCCACGAGGAGTCAGACTAAATTCTGAATAGCAGGATAGACCAAGTTTGTAATCGTTTTAAATGCCTTTACTAGTAAAATAAAATGCTGCAAATTTGAACTAAAACAAATAACCTTGTCAAAAATGGCAACCGTTCAAAGATTCCTTGAATCTGCCTTTTTTAATTTTTTAACGGCTGCCATGTTTTACTCAGTTGTCCTTTTGAGCTTAAGTTTTTGGCATTGTATTCTACTAGTAAATACATTTAATTTTATGTGCATATCAACCAATGTGTGTGTTTATGATTTTCTACAGAATTCTAAGGGGCGCCCCTCTGAGGACGTAGCGTCCTATAATATCATTGCAAATTCAATGTTAACAGCTGTCATTTTGACTCGGTTTTCCGTTTGACTTTAAATTTACGGCATTGTTTTCTACTAACCAAGACCTTTAATTTTATACCAATTTCGACCTATGCTGCTGTTTAAGATTTCCTTCTGACTCCTCGTGGGCCGTCCCCCTTGGGGGATGAATAAGTGATAATAGCTGAAAATAGTACATTTATGGATATTATTGTTATACCAAGTCTCGTCACTTCATCTAATAAGGGTAAAAAATATATTACACCATTCCGGGACTTTTCAATCACACAATGTATATTAAATCATTTTCCATAAGGAAAAATGTACTCTTTATATACGTATACAAACAAATTTTGTGCAATGTATGAACAATATACATAAAGTGACATTTCCTTTACGTAGAAGAATCAACAAGTGCAATTGTCTTTAACAGAGTGGCACTCCGAGTAAACTAGGTACAACAGTAGTTAGCAGAAGTTACCCTTCGTGCTTATACAAAGACTGGAGGCTGTATCAATTAAAAGTTAGCAAACAGAACAACACGGTTGGTCTGGCATAATGTCCGGGAAGTTTAGTACGAAGCGAAACTTTGGACTTCGATAAGAGCGAACAGAAGGTGAAATGAGCGCGACTCTATATCGGATGTCTTGATACTGTTCAATTTAAGTTGGAGATAGCTCTGTTATGTCAAATCTATATAATTAATACAGTGAGGTGTTTCTCAGTAACATCCCTTTTACAGCCGTCCTACTTAACCGATTTTTACGATTAAGGTGTCATTTTAAAGCTTATGATATAGCGCACCTGCAAATGATAATTAAAAAGGGGTTTTACTTTACAGCTTTGCCCTCTGTTTGATTGTGTTTTACATCTGCTACTATTTGACAATTAATTGTGGCCTGATTAAGGTAGGTAAATCACTCTTTATAGTGTAATCTAAAATCAACAAATTTATTGCAAACTGGTCTTGCTCATACATTTTAATGTTCGATGAACAATTAGTTATTAACTGCATTTTTTTACAGACTTGTCGCTCACATGTGGAGGAGAGGGAAGAGAAGACTGATAAAGAAATATCGTCTTTGGAAGTACAGAAGACATCAAAAGAGGGAACAAAAACTCAGCATAAGCAATAACAACGAGGACAACCCAACGTCTGTGGGTAGTCCATTGGCGATGCACCCGTTCAAACCGCAAGAGGGTAAGCCACAAGTTTGTGCTGTTCAACCTATTATGACTCTTTCCATTAGCTGAAATATAAATGTCATCGTAGCTGTTAAAGAATGAATTGCCCTGTTCGGAAGAATCGGCAGAATACCCCATTTATTTTAACTGGCTAATAATCATTTGAAATACATAGGAATAGAACGTTTGTTAAATAACAACTGGTCTTTTTTTGTGAGGAAGATATTTACTAATTTATATTAGGGCAACTTGTTTCGACAGTTGACATTTCTTGGCCATTTTAATCATAATATAATTAGTTTGGTTGATTACTTTATAAGCATGTCATTTGTGACAACATTTTAGCCATGAAACAAATTAACTGCCGGGCTTATTTATTGCTATAAGTTAAGCATTGCATACCTCTGGTTGTTGATGGGGTTACTAAGATGTACAACATGTCTTAAGATGTTGGTAATAATTTCTTAAATAATGTAATATTTACCATTTATATATATATATATATATATATATATATATATATATATATATATATATATATATATATATATATATATATATATTCATTTTTTAATGACTGATGCATTTCAACTCTAAGGTCATGGTCACAGTCTTTTTAGATTTAGTTAAAATTTAAACATGTGATTGTATTTATTTTCTTTGTTTACATATTAGATTTAATAACATTGTGAAAGACTGTGACCATGACCTTAGAGTTGAAATGCATCAGTCATTAAAAATGAAAATAATTAAAAAAAGGGTACTATGGTGTATTATTTATTAATATTAATTACAGTAGCCCTACAGGTAAACAGTATCAAATATAATATATATATATATATATATCGTAACTCAATATGACAATAATTTAATTTTTTGCCTTAAAAAGTAGCCTACTTTAGAGCCATTTAAATATGTTTTCATCTATATAAATACAACTTATAACTTCTGAAATGTTCAGGATTAAAACCCCAACCTTTATCTTTAAAAATGTCAAGTGTCAATAGAAAAGAGAACAAGACCATTAAGTATGTAGTGGAGATCACATCTTACACTATAACACCGAAGTTATAAAATTTTGTCCATATTTATGATGTTTTTCAGGGGAAAAGTTTAAGTGTACAGTACCAGCGACAGTGGTCATTTCCCCCACTCCGCGACGGCATCGCTCCCCACCACCGGAGGCTCCTCCTCCCACTGTGCCTACAATAGAGGTGATAGAAGACACGCCCCCGAGTCCCAAGAGGCCGTCCTTACTGCGGGTGCCTTCCTTTAATAACGGCTCTCATTGGGAACAGGAGGTATGTCGGTCTTAAATTTGGTGTAAAAGTTAAAAGTGTAATACAATGCTTGAGGAGCACATTATGTAGATAACAAGAAAAATTATGTAGTTAAAAAAATATATATTTTTTTAATCATCCTATTTTAATTATGACAATCATTTTATAAATGTAGCTGATTAAATTTTTCGATTCATTGATAGAACTCCTGGGAATACTTTTGTTCATGTGTAAATGTAAGGAAACCTACCACAAAGAAAATAAATGTTGCTTTCAAGTTCTGAGCTATTGCCTCTGAGGCGTAGTGTGGTAGTTGTATGCAAAAATAGTCTCGTTTACTTTGAAAATTAGGTGCGTACTGTTCATAGCCAGGAATTTTCAGCAATATTCTGTATACTATTTGTAATTTTGTTACATGAGAGTTATTAGCCCCTGCTTAGGCATGCTATAGTATTGTACTTACGATATAACACTACTAAGAAATGTTTTTTTTATCTAACAATGACTTTAGCTACTTAAATAGTGGTTTAAATAATAACATTTACATTTAATAAAACAATTACCCACTCTCAGAGTCACACGGGGGCTAGTCTTCTCAGTCCTCCAGGAACCACGAACCTCTCTCGACGCAGAAGTAGTGTGATGTTCAACGACGTGGTCCTCCTGCATGGAGAGAACACCCCGAATGTTCAGCAGACAAGGAACGTGTGCTCCAGCGAGAAACAGACTCAGACGGGGGAAGGAGATTGGCCTGATAGTGATTCACACACTGTCATCATCCCTTCGTCAGCACAACATCAGGTTGGAATCAGGATCAGAATATGCTTAAAGTGTAATAACTTGTATGCTTGATTCATAGCTTGATAGCTAGCTTCACCTTTAAAGCTAAATAAATTAATAATTTTGAGATTAATATCTTGATATTTTTAAGCTTCATAGATTGATTGATGATAGTTTGATAGCTTAACCTATAGTTACAAAAGTGATGAGAACAATGATCGGTTATTGGTTGAAAGAAAGTTTGTATTATTCATTTTATTTTAGCCGAACGTCAAAGAGAGAGTAGTTAAACTAATTGTTTCAAAAGGAGGTGGTATAATACGATATTTCTATGGGTGGGATTATGGGTACGGTTTAAAATGTGTGATGTTTATATTTCTTTGATAACAAAATTTACCACAGAGAAATTTCTATCTCCAGACATCAACTGCTGAAGCGATGACTTGTCAGGAACTCTTGGCTCTCAGTGGAGCGCTCAGTGCAGCTCTCCCTACAGGACAGCTTGCTCTCGACTCTTTGTTCAACTCGCTCAGCAAAGGAGTTCTTCAGCCTCAGATCCAGTTTGCTACTAGCATTGGAGCTATGGATGTAAGTTTGTTTTTGTCATTTTCAACACCACTCTACACTATTATAATATTACTTTTTAAATTGTCTTCGTTATGACCAGAGCTTGACTAGTGAGTCATAAAGTGCGGGGTTCTTCAATCACAGACCTAAGACCTTAGACAAGTACGTAAGCATGCATGACAATCAGCCATTTCTACACATAACATGCAAAATAGCTCCAACTGTTCACAAGTTACGATTGTATTCAACAGCGGTCGGCCGTTGACTGGACAAGTTACGACAAGCCAAGATCCAGTTGCTGTGGTTGCGGTCACACCTGGTATTGTGCTTTTCAATGCGTCTACTCCGGGTGCGGTGCTGCCAGGAGATGTGTCCAGTTGCTTGTAGAGCACAAGTACTTCCAGCAAGGGATCCTACTCGCCATCCTCATCAACACGCTCAGCATGGGGATAGAGTATCACAACCAGGTAATTTTACATGAAAAGTAATGTTACAGGATTTTTTACATTAATACTACAACAATTGTCTTACGGGTTCAACCAAGTTACAGACATAAACCTAATATTAAGTATGTGCAGAGCAGCTCACTTGAACAGTTGTCTAGGATCAAATCCAAAACTCCAAAGCTTAGTAAATGTTCCTGTCTGTGAGATGAGTGTAGGCTACCTGAAGACAAAATTGATGTGTAAATCAAGGTACGTCCAGGTAAATTATTGTTTCCAACCAATTACAATACATAGCACATTTAGCTTAAATTGGTGTTATTAGTTAAAAGTTGATTACTGGATACGACTATTGTTTTGATTATTACTATTTTAAGTAACCGGCTTAAATAATTACCTAGTCAAATTACGATAATTATTTATTTGTTTGTTATGTCACTATTTCATGAAATGGAACCAATTGAGAAACCCTACGGTTTTATTTCAGCATTTATATTTTTGTCCAGGTTGCAGCAAAAAAGTTATCTATATTGCGCAGTGTTCAGAAACAGGTCGTTGAAAGTGGTGGGTGTAGGCTCGCTAGAAAGTCTACACAATGCCATTATATGGAGTCATAGAGCAGTAGCAATGAATACAAACCTTCATTGGCAGTAGTCGTCTGAGCTACGTGCGTTTGTTATTGAGTCGTATTTGAAAAGTAGTGAATTCATTGATTGCAACTCAGTGTCAGTTCCGTGTATTCTTTCAATTTAAGCGACATTATCACACTCTGTATTTGATAAAAAGTTTTAAAATATGTGTCAAAAAGAACCTATCCAATATGTGCTTTGCTATTATTTATTGCATGACAAGTTCAAATGCATTTTTTTAATTTATTGGAGATATTTGAATAATCTTAAAAATGCAGAACAAGTTCTAGTCTAAGATTGTTTATAGGGTTTCTAAATAGATTTATCGACATGGATTCAAAATTGATTGTTCATGACATAACTGTACAGTATTAGTCTCTGTAATAATTAAGCCAGCCGTTTCCTAACTAGATTTCCTTTATGTGATCGATAAAATTATGGGTTTTGTTATAATATTAAATAAAATAAAATTAAATTAAATTACGAGTAAATTGATATAAAAAAATTAATTTAATTAATTAAATTAAACCTACTGTATTAAATATACTATACTGTATAATACGAGTTAGTGAGCTCATTACTGTTGAATGAATGCACTCATATTGTTATATTTAAATTACCTAGTATTTAATGGATTTACTTCATTAGGCACATTTTTCATATCTTAACTTGTTCCTCCATTTTCACAGCCAGAGGAGCTAACAGTCATAGTGGAGACCAGCAATATTATTTTCTCTGCTGTTTTCGCTTGCGAGATGCTTCTCAAGGTGATTTCAGAAGGCCCTTTTGGCTACATCAGCAATGGTTTTAACGTCTTCGATGGCATCATTGTCATCCTGAGGTAACTTCCCTAAACCAAATCTTATGAAATTTGTGCAATTTCTTATCAATTAATAGTCGTTATGAGGTAATTTATTAAACACGTCCTTTGGACCTCCTTTATAGACTGTTTTGTAGAGCATTCCCAATCCAATTTTGTTTGTTTCCTCATAGATTGAGAGAAAAAAGTAAATTTGTAACTTATCAACTGGTAACGACCAACTCAAGTATGAAGATTTTGAAAATGTCGGATAACATAAATGAATCGTAATTGTTTTATAACCTACCAAACAAATCCTCCTTGGAGTTCAACATTTATTATACATACCTGAACCCATCAAATATTTATTTAGATTCAAAATAATGGAAGGTACTCCAAATATTAACCATCAGAGTGTAACCTTTTCCAGTGTGATCGAGCTTGGTCAGACCTTCCTAGGGGAACGGGAAGGAAGTTCAGGCCTCAGTGTCCTAAGGACCTTCAGGCTTTTGAGGATCCTGAAGCTTGTCAGGTTCATGCCTAACCTCCGCCGTCAGCTGGTCGTCATGCTTAGAACCATGGATAACGTCGCAGTGTTCTTCTCTCTCCTGATACTCTTTATCTTCATCTTCAGGTACGTGAAACCACGCTACGCTCTTGGTGAGATTTTGGTAACGTCCAGGACTGGGAGTTTTGAAGTTTGGAGTAAATGTGGGAAAATCGTTTGATAATTGAGAAAGTTGAACTGAATTTAAATTCAAATGTGGAAACTTTTGATTAATTGCGTTCCATCCACTAGGTAACAATCATTGGCTTAATTGGGGTTTTGTATTTTTGCACAGTGTATACTTTCTTTTAATATTATTATAGAAGTACTTACATTTTAAACCCAGTTTCCATGAAATTGACAACTTTATTTAATTCTGTTTTGAATTTGGAACATGATTGTAAACAACTTAAACTGCTCAACTCCAAGTCTTGTCTGATACCTACACGCTTTGCGCTACACTCACGCATTGAAACTACATCCGTGTCTAAACCATCAAAATGCGCTGTCAGCCATCAGTTAATGAGTATTATACTGAATAAATCGTATGCATAATTTAAAAGACGTTATTCTGAACGAAGTTTAGTTTTAGGCTACATTGTAGTAGCATTGCATAGTGATATGATATTAGAACTTTTTCCACAGTTTTGATTTTTTTTTTTTAGTTTAGTTATCCACCTTTAGAACTTGTGTATGAGCTACGTGCGAAACAATAATACGAGTTAATGCACTATTCCATGTCAAATTATGGCTATCTAAGTCAAATAATACGGTAAGTCTATTCTCAAAGAAAGTGTAATACTCTCTTTAGCTGTTTGGCTGGCAGTAAGTCCAAATTACATTATCTCCAACCGTCAACCCACCAGATAATCCTACCCGACCTTTCATTGTGATGTCTATTCCTTCCTAAGCACATAAAAATAAATAAAAAATCTTTAAAATGCATCAATTTTACATAGAATAAAAACAAAACATGAAAACCTCATTTATTTTCATTAATAGAGCCATATAAATAGTATTAACCAGTATTTTTCCAAAATAGGTTTGATAAATGGTTAACTAGGTAGAATTTATAATTTTGAATCTGTAATGAAGTGAAGTTACAATATTTTAATTAATTGATTGTGTGTATTTTAATTTTTTTAATTATCAATTATGTATTTTTTACAACATAAAGCAATTTTATAAACATAGTCATGTTCTTAAACTGTTGGTTTCAAACCAAATCACTTTAAAGCTTTTTGAACGTCTTTCTTGGACGCTTTAAATGAAATTATTCATTTAGAATACTTTGAACCATCCATAAACTGACGTTATATTCAATTTTTAATTTTTTAATTTTTTTTTACGGACAATGATTGTTTCCTGATACTGTTATACAGTAATTTGTATAGTAAACCCAATCTAGTAAAACTTTTATAGTGGCAGTGGTGACAAATCGCGTATCATTTCATTTTCTGTTTTAGTTCACCTAAAAACCTCATACGTAATTTAAAATTTTAAATACTACTGTACAACCAAGTGACTGCCTACAATTTTAGACGTTTAAGTCCTTTCAATAGTTCATAATTTATCAGTAACATTTGCTTTCTAGTAAAATGCTAACTAATTTAAACGAACCCTGATATTGTAGCCTATGTTAAGTAAAATAATACAAAAATGTAAAACAAATACCAAGAATTCTTCCAATTTGTAATTTTGTTAATACATTTTTATTGGCTGTTAAACGTATACAAATTTTGTTTATGCCTAGGCGTCTTAGCTTTTACGTAGTTATGCATCTATGTTTTTACAATGTACATTCCGGATTTTAGTATCCTCGGAATGAACCTGTTTGGATGCAAATTCTGCGAACCAAATAATAACGGACAACAGACTTGCGATAGGAAGAACTTTGACTCACTTTTGTGGGCGTTAGTGACCGTTTTCCAGGTATTATGATACTGATTCGTTACTTTACAGCGATACTGACTCCCTGCTTATGTAAATCAGCTGTGTATTTAGGTTTTTAGTCGTATTGTTTCCTAAGTGTTTCGAGTAGTTATATTGTAACACATAAATGTTGACGGCTGCATGAACTGTGCGTCCAATACTAATAGTACACTTTTATGAATACAGCTGATTTTTCAAATGTTATCTAGTTTTTTTATGCACCCGCTTCATGCACATACCGGTAAATCCTGGTTTTTAATTAACTAAAAAAACTGTTTCTACAAAACTATTTTACAATCACTTACATTTTTCCAACAATTCGATATCTGAAAACAGGTACTGTATTATTTTTATTTCAGCTCAGTTAATTAGTAGAACATTGGAAACGTAAGCCTATTCATTAGCACAATTACAATATTAGTGTTTTGTATCAAAAATAAGTTTACTAAGGGAACTTAAAATTAAGCATTCCAAATGCAAGCTTTAATTGTAATTTTTATATGGAAAGGTTTTTCCGCTAATGTTTGCTACCTCTCTTCCCCGGGCTACCCCTATTTAACCCACTGTTTGTCATTTGACAGCTCAGTGGCGTTGAAAGATTGCGGTCCCATCAAATTAACACGCCCTTTTTCAGAGAATTAGGCAAATTTCACACCCATCGTTCACTTTAATTACACTTTAAGGCAAAGAGATTTTTACAAATGATTGGTTTATAGCAGACAAGGTTGAAAAATTGAATGATTGAAAAATAAGACAAATATTAATTTCAATGTCTATTTGATTTTATTAAAATATCAAATCAGTAAAATAAATTAATTTATATTATAAATGCATATTGTAGCCAGGTTCACCATAGACATAAAGTAGTTGTAAAATAAATTTAATACATTTTTCAAGACAAAGTACATACTATATCAAAATACTTTAATTGAATAAAAATATTCAATGATATATAACTATATCAATAAAAATTAACTTTAGCCAAAATCTTATTTCACTTTTTTATAACATTTATGTATCAGGCTTCTTGTCTAGTAGTTTTAAGAAGTTTGGGCATTGTAGAATGTTTTCTAAAATTGAGAGTCGAATTGATTATTATCATCTACATAGATTTTTCTAAAAGTCACTGAACCAAGCAACAAATGGTGCATGTATTTTGTAACAATACTAAGTAAAAGTACTCATATTAAATCCTAAATCTAAGTAAAGGGAAACATTACAGCAGTTTACCATTTATTTATTGTGAGATCAGTAAGTAAAATTTGTTTGATTGTGGTACTGTTGGTGTGTTCCAAATTGTTACCAATAATTGTAGATGCAAAACATACAATATAAATATAGGTAACACTTAAAATTTTATTTGGAAGTCGAGTGAAAAGTAAGAAACATTTAAGGGATTCTGTACTACATATTTGGTTTTTGGCTGGTAAAAACAAACCGATAATAAACTCTCTGTTTCCAGATGTAATAGTTTATTACTAATATACTTAAAGAAAATTTAAAAAAACGGCTTCTCAAATAAATATATTCTTTTAAGTTCGACAGCAATGATGTACGATAGTAAACAATTGAAAACTAATGAATCAGTTTTGGTGGTGTTAAATTTAAAAAAGTTTTATGTTTAACTATTTGTTTGCAATATTCTAACAAATATATTATGAATATCGTGGTTTATCTACTTTTATTTTAGTACCAGTTCTAAAATAGGAGTACAAGCATATTTTTAACGCTGATTGCTTTATGATGACGCATATACCAACATCCATACAATCCCAATGTAATGAACTTGGTTGCACTGACTTCGTCAAGGGTTACTATTTACAAAACCACATACATACTGAGATATTCACGCACATTATTACGAAAAAATAAAATTAATGTTCCTGAGGACGGAAACAGGTCTGTAACTATGGGTATTTATTTAATTTTAACTGTGGTTTTCTGTTAAATTAGGGTTTGTATTGTTTTGTAAAATCATTTAATCGGAACAGCACAACTTATTTAATCAGAATTATCCCATAATCCCTTTATTGGAATTTTAATTTACTTGAAACTAAATAAATACCGTACCTTGAAGCAAATGAACTGGCAGTTTTAACATTCTTTGAAGATATTGTTTAAAAACTTTTTACCAGGATTTACCGAATTTAGCTTTTGTTGTTCGAATACCAATTCCGATGCTTCGCTGACTCAGGTAATGTATTTTTTGTGAGAACCGTCAAAGTCGCGAATAATATTTTAATTTTAAGAATACAAACGAGAAATGATTGTAAGTAACGTTAAGTCCATTGATAATGAATTTTTATTTCCTATTATAATTCAATTGATACGCAAGTTTTCTAATTTTTCATTATAAAAGTAATGTGAAACTACAGTAATAGATTTTTAAACATTTAAAAAGTTGAACTTCCAGTTAATAAAATATAATAAATCCAATGTCATTAATTGTTATCAAAAGAAGTGGTCAAATATTTTTTTATCCTAAAAATAAATATATTCCTTAATAAACTACAAACATACATAAACAATATTTGTGAATATATGTTTTATTTATGTTTTTACCTTTACTAGAGCACATCTCTGTAAGAAAAGGTTTAAGTCAGCACACTTTATATGGTTAATCCCTCATTTATCTGAATGTTTTTCTTACATTATGTTCATAATTTTATATTACTTAATTATAGACACAGTTTATGCTGGAGTTGTTACATCTATCCATTTTTAACAGTGTGTACTATGATCATCAATTAAATTTCTACATAATGCTTAGCATACTTTTATTGTTTTTTTCTTAACTATAAAAAGACGTTTTACTAATTTCTTTCTTAGGTAATTATAATTCAAACAATGAAAAAAAAATTATTTATTCCTACGCCTTTCAGTTAAAATAATTGTGAAAAAAATTGTCGATAATTTTATTTTAAATTGTTTTGTTATTTTGCAAAACATTTACAGAAGTGCAAATTTAACTAAAACCTTCAACGATATTTTTTTTTACATTAAAATTAAGTTTGAAGATAAATTTGAGTTTAAATTTAAATTGCTGCGTATCGAGTTTCATCTAAATGCAGTAATAAAAAAAGAAATTTCTTACACTATGTTAGAAACAAGTAACTATGATAACAAAATACTTTAATATTTTTTATGAAATGGTG